CGCAGTAATAGATCACTGAAAGTCCCACATACCGAAGACGAAAAGGATCTTTGAAGCAATGAAACGCAGCCGACATCTGGGCCCCGGTCTATTTCAGCACCCGGTATACTGCAGAGGCCTAAATGCTCACCCTTTCGGATATATTCGAGGCCAACGAAAACCTTATCGCTCCCGTTGACCCTAACTGTTCACAGAACCACTTCTGACATCTGGCACCTGTGGCGTTCCTTTCCCATCTATATCGACCTATATCAGTAGCCATGCTACATCTTCTTGAACTTTAAAACGTCGCGGCGTATGACCATTGGGGGAAGCCTAAAACAACTAGCAACTTGCGTCATCCAAATACGTGCCGAGGAAGACTGAAGCGGATTGGAACATGCACAAGACACGACGCGGTGCTGGTGGTTTGGGCTTGAACAGACGCACATCGGCCCTGGAATGATATTCAAGCTGTCGATGCAGAATTGTTGCATTGCCTTCAAATTCGGGTGTTTAGGGTACCGAGGGAATCGCGTCATGTCCATGAGACGAGGTGCGGGAGGCGGGACCAACCAATGCACCATAGCCAGAAGCACATTCTTTGACGAAGTACGCAGGTTCATGTAGTTCCAACGTTGGATGTCCTGACATACACCGCACCCTATGCAGAACCTGGCCCAGGATTTCAAGCTTTCGCCATTTTTTCAATTAAACGAGCTGGACAAACAGCCCAATGAGTAAGCCCAAGTTGAATAATGGATTCGGGAACAAGCTCACCAAATTGAAGAGTACCAAATTCCTGGCTTGGCTTTTGCGAGAAAAGATAGTTACTCCCAATGCCACGTTGAGCCCAAGCTCACTTGGGAGAAAGGTGTGTAGCGCCTTTCATACGCATATCAATCTTCGGGACCTCAACTTGTACAAGACTGTCTCAGGTCCACCTAGTGACAAGCATGGGCCCTAGTCATATCCTATGGCAGGCTTGCTATGCCATCGTAGCCCAACAGGAGGTAAAACCGACGGAAGGCAGTAAATGGACAAAGAATCGAGGAAGGCCGGAAAAAAAAGTTGGAAACAGCAAGTTCGATGGGGCGAACACTCGGTGAACACCTCGTAGAACCTCGTAGGACCGTTGTGTGGAAGTCAGCTGGAGGTGAATCAACTCCTGGTGCACATGTGTGCTTATAGCAAGGTTATTCGAGGATGAAAACAAGGAAATGCCTAGGTTTGCCGCATTTTGTAGGTATTGTGTTGACAGTCGGGAATCATAATGGGGTCTGACTCGGGGATAGCTGAGTTCGAAAAATCAAAATTGCGCCCTTCTACCTGGACCGGACCACCATTACACCTGCAGCTGACCTCTCTGATTAGCTTCAATACAAAGCTTCAACCGTTTTTTCTTTGTTTTACCTTGGAGGGATAGAAATATCTGTCGCAGAAGTGCTGGATTAGAGGTGCGTCGCCCCCATCTTCTGGTCAGGCCACATAAATGACTGCTCGACTTCTTTCTACTTCTTTCCTCCTCCCTAGGTCATCATTTAATATTCAAACTCAGGCTGATGTGCTCTTTATCATCGCTATACCTTATACGTTAAGTTCTGGAACGATCCGAATTTCAGGCAGACCTCTCGGAAACCCAGTGAAGCAGGACTGGCAGTTCAAGAAGCATTTGTCTACGATTGGGAGACTCTGCTTAAAGGCCTTCTCAAGAACACGCTTCTACTATAGGCTGTCTACAACAGGCTATAGTCTTAGTGTCATTCGGCTGCCTTGATCAGCGCTCTGTGCCAGTGCTCGAGCTCGCTTTACGGATCATCTCATACTTGCTACGGTAAAGGGGTCGGCTCTCTGGGCTCTAGGCCGCGATAACTGGACGGCGTGAGCCGTGATGAAAAGGAGTGAGTATCTGTGTATCGCTGATAACGATAATCTTTTAGGCAGGAGCTGGACACCCGACGGGAGCTTTTGATGTGCCAGGATTCGAGATGAAACCCTACACCCTCAGCGAGCTCAAGAGCTCCGCATGTACCCTGTCATCCTTCAACGATCTTTCAGTTCTGCATGCCCGCTCTTTGTCTAGATTTCTGTGGGTATCATGGTACCCACTGCTTTCCAATCTCGAGCACACTCCGCCACTGAACGTCCATACAAACCAGGTTGTTATGATCGCCGTCTACCTGGTGGTAGTACTATCACGGTCATTGTTTGCTCTTTGAATAATTCAAGTCTGGACGGATTGTCCTTGTGTACGTTCAATTTTCATGGGTGAATCTCAAGACTGGTCCTTCCCTATGCTCCGTAGCTTGATTGAATTGGTTCCTCAGTTTCATTGTACTCTCTTTTGTACTTGGGGTCAGCATCAACAATATACCATTACTTGTGATTTTTTATAGAGAATTCGATGAGAGTGGTGAGAGTATGTGCTCAATCCTAATGACAATTGCAAATTTGCAAGGTTCTTGCCGTAATTGGTAACGTTTATGTACATGATCCATTGTCCGACGAAGTTTGAACAATGAATTATGGGACGCAACCATTCTTTCTCACAGACCACCATCATGTCTGTTGAACTCGACAACGACAAGGAAAACCTTCTCAGCAGTGATGACGCCGGCTCTACGAAACCCGCGAAGACCATTACCCTGGGCGCTGGCAAGCTGGTCGCAGTGAATGTTTATCCAGACTCGGCTGAAGTTTCACGTTCGTATAGTTTCCTTGTCCAGGACGGGTGGAATTCGATTCATATCAGCGATCTGCCGGCAACTATAGATGCGGAGTCGCTGAGGTACGTGTCGTGTGTTCTCTGATTCAGATTTGTGCTGATGAACCAATCTTTTCAGAGTAGCCGTGAAGGGTCCGGCTTCAGTACGAAATATCACCGTCGAACGAGGTCGGGAAACTTCCACATCGTCACCTCATGTTGCCAGCCTTCAGAGCAAGAAACAAACGATTGAAAGACAAGTGGAGAGGGTCAAGAAAACCACGGGCAGCCTCGAAACGTATTCTGGCACCTTGAGTGTCGACCATGTGCAAGTGGATCACGTCGGAGAGTGGCTGAAAGCGATTCGGAGCGCTGGAAAAGAATTAGATGAGGAGTCCATGAAGTTGGAGGTGCAACTGAAGAGTGTTAAAGAAGAGCTTGAACATGAACTCCGTCGCATTGGGACGTCAGGTCCTCTCTTCACTGCCACATTCTCTCTGTTCAGCGAAGACATGGGCGATATCGAGGCACAAGTAACGTATGGTGCGGCGTCTCTCCTCGACATATTTAGCCAGCCTAACGCCTTACAGTTGTCAGCAACTCTAGTTGGTCACCTAGCTACGACATCAAGGTGGACACACGGTCGGTGAACTCTCCGGTCACCTTAATATACAAAGCTATCGTCAAACAAGACACCGGTGAGGTAAAATTTGTCACTACCCTCTGCTTTATCCGTCTCATCATACCTCCATAGTCCTGGAATGATGCTACCATAACACTTCGGACGTTATCACCGTCTGCCTGCGTCAACCTTCCGTCCATCGAGACATGGTCGGTATCTCTTTATATACCCGTCGCCTCTCCTCAGCCACTGAATCGGAAGAGACGGCGCGAGTCAACCGGCGGTACCCCAGCTAGGAAAGCCGGAACATACGGAAAAAGGAATGCTGCCTACGAAGATGGATCGGACGAAGAAGAAGAAGAAGCAGAAGACGGTGATGATACAGAGTTCGCTGAGGCCGAACAAGATGATGGGAATCAGGAAGCAGTCGCCGAGAACGAAGACACCGCGGCCCCTTTCACAACACAGCCTAGCGCTACTTTTAAGCTAACGGAAAAGGTTTCCATCCCCTCTGGAGACGGTGTACATACCATCATCATAACAGAGTTAAAGTCGGATGCGAAACTCACGTGGTTCTGTGCACCAGGTGGTGATAATGGCGATTCACGAGTCCATCTGAAGGTCGGTTGGCAGTACATATACATGAGAAGGTCGCCTTGTTCATCCTCTTCTACAGGCTCAGATACGCAATGGGTCGGAGTATACCTTACTTCCCAGCGGGGTCAATGTCTACGCTGATGGATCTCTTGTCTCGAAATCGACAATACCGACCGTCAACCCGCTTGAAACCTTTGAATGTCCTCTATAGTATGTATACAGCAACCCGTCTTCGTCATGATACTAAACATTATGACAGTCTCGATCCAAGTATTCGAGTGACATGTCATCCACCTGTCAAGAACGTTTCGACTACCGGCTTCTACAACAAATCGCGTTCACACAGTACTACAACCCGCATAACCGTCCATAATTCCAAGTCGATACCGGTACACAATCTACGAGTTCTTGACCGAATTCCTATTTCAGATGACGCACGAGTAGCAGTCAAATTGACCAATCCTACCTTGAAGCGTCCGATACCTGGAATGGACAAACCGTTGGCTCCTGTCAAGGTCGGTGAGGGTATCCTTGCCCAGTGGTCAGGAGCAGATGAAGCTGGCGTCGATGCTCGTATGCTGGGGAAGGATGGCAAATTCTTCTGGTTATGTGATGTACCTGCACAAGGAACAATCAGCCTTGTGTCACAATGGGAGGTATTAGCACCATTGGATGCTGAAGTAGTGGGACTTTAGTCTGGATTATCTATCTACGTGTTTTCTTGTATAATCGCTGTGTGCTTTAGTCCGTTGACTATGTTTTGTATTGCATGAAACACTGTAAAGCTCTTTCTATAATCAATAGACTGAACTCTTGATCCGTTTAGCGCCCATAAGCGCCGTCGCCTGTGACATCGCCGGTGTACATACGGTATAGCGTAAGTAGTTCTTCTACCTTTATCCTCAAAGTAATGCGCTCCAAAATTTGATTAGGATTGGTATGACAATGGTACTCGGCGTATATAATACGTTACAATAGATAAATGTCGAACGGAGGTTGAACACTGTTGAACCTTGATACACTCCTCCTGATCACACTGTTCGCCTGTTTATTGGCGATACGACACCTTGCGACAGCAAAATACGTTCCAAAAGGAGCTGACGAGAGTGGGATTCGAACCCACGCCCTTTCGGACCAGATTATGCTGGGAATCAGAAGTTTGAGGACGTAAATCGTCCTGGTCCTTAGTCTGGCGCCTTAGACCGCTCGGCCATCTCGCCACGGATTCCTTCTATAGAGCTCGCAATTATAGCGGACACACCCTTCATTTTGCACCTAAATCCAACTCTATAGCATCTGCTAACCGAGCGTTGTCACAATTTGATAAATTTTCTGGGTAGCAGTCCAAGAACTATAGTAGTAGATTATACCGATATTGCATGACAGAACCACATATCGAACAAGACAACAAAAACATATCACATTTCTGTGGCATCAATAATGTCCATATCTCCTGCATCACTAGAAGGTGGTGGAGGTGCCACCTGCGAAATCCGCATCTTTGAGGGCCTTCGAGCGCTGACGCTTCCACCTTCAACCTGCTCATGCACATGTTTCGACTGACTAGCGCCCTTTTTCCTTGAGCCTTTACCACTAGGTCCAGCAGAAGCCTGAGGTGCTGCGCCCGATGCCGCAGTACCTCCCGATCCCGATCCTTCTGCACCAGCTATCTTCCGAGCTTGCATCGCGTTCGCAAACTCCGATTCCTTCTCACCTGCCCAGGTGCGGGCGAACCACCTGCCACCGCCGATACCGCGAATTTCCCGGTTCGCCACGCGCCAGTGTCGTGGCTGGGTTTTGGTTTTGTCTAGGGGAATAGTCGGTGCGACGCCGGTGCTGATCTTTGGTGGAGGCAAAACAGGGAAGGGCTTTGTTGGGAGCGGATAGACAGGAATAGCAACACTTTCAAGGCTTATAGGCTGTTCGTCTGCAGCTATGTCAGTTTGGGGAGCAGGCTGTGTGTCAGGGTTGCCTATTAGGACAGGACTGCTTTCTGATTGGAATATCGGCTCTGGCTCCAGTATTGCTTGTTGCGTTGGCTTTGGTTGTGAACCCGCCGGTTCTGGTTGCGATCCTGGTTCTAAATCTGGTGGGCTTTGCGTTTGCGTTTGCATCGGTTCATGATCTGATTCAGAGTCAGAATCAGAGTCAGAAATCAGAATCAGATCCAGAGTCGTCAGAATCGGAGGACTTGGTTTTTTCGGGTGAGGTGGCCCTGGTATTTTTCCCTTCTGAAAATTCTGTCAACATCAGGCTATAGGCCATAGCTACGAAAACTTACTTTCACTCATGGAACGATATCTTTCTGCTATAGCCAGCCTATGTTCCTCATACACTCTAGGAAATGTTATCAAGATCCCTACACTACACATACTAGAGGGCAACGCACTTATCAACTTCTGACCTTTTCACCTTGATCGTTTTTGTTGGTACCGACGCCCAAGCTATCACTCGTCGCCCCTTCGTGGCGTATGAATAATGGTTGGCATCTGGAACGGTGATGTAGATTTCATCTGAATCTTGAGGCTTGCGCATCTCGGGTTTCTTGGGAGGCGGAACAGTTGGAACGCCTGTCATGTTGACTTCGCCATTAGGTCCTAAAAGTTTTGCCATTGTTAGGTGTCGAGCGACATCAGAAGTACCGCGCAAGCGCACCATCTGGACCAAAGTCCCACCCATCTAGTGGGGGTAGACCACGCTCTAAGAGTACCCTGACACGATATTGATACTCACCGACTGGAGTAATAAAAGTGAAGTACGCACTTTTTAGCTTCGGATTTCTTCACTTTGATCACCGTCATAGGCGCAGACTTCCATGGGACGGCTTTTGGGCCTCTATTGTACGCAATGTGGTCAAGATCCTTGACACGAATCCAGCATTCATCTTCGGCTGTCTCTTCTTCTGAGCCAGGCTTTTGAGGAATTGGCTTTGGTTTGATCTTGCCCCGGGCTTGCGCCAGCGGTCGTCTCTTCGGAAGAGGTTTGTGAGCCTTCGAGTTGGCTTTGCCATCGGATCCTAGAATGTGGGAGCGCTGAGTCTTTAGAACATTGACACACGGCGAAGTTGAGACGAGATACGTGCCATTCTGTTTCACCGAACTTCCTGCTTCCCCTGATGCCATCTTCCCGGTTTCCGTTTTACGAGACTTACGCTTCCGACCTTCTGCCGTGACTGCCTTTCGTTTCGAGGTCAGAGCTTTACTGCTACTGGCGACCGGTGGATCTTCATCATCAATAAGCTGGTCTTCTTGGTCCTCGTCTTCATCTTGCCTACCATCGTCGTCACTGTGGTGGCGGCTGGCAGAAGACGACGCGATCGTTTTTGTCTTGTCTTTACCGAGTACAAGTTTGAGTCGGAATCCAGAGTTACTGCTCTTGGAGGGTGGAGGAGTCGATTCTTCGCGTAGAGTAGAGATTTTGGGGGTATCCATGTCGACGTTGTGGATATGGAAAAAGTTTAGCCTTGCGAATTGTCACGCAGTGACCCACGCATCAACTTGATCAAGAATTCCAAATATCAAAGATAGAATAAGCGCTCACCTAGTCGGCTCTGGGCTCCTAATATCACCAAGGCCAGATGGTTTGAATTCTAGTCGATTGCATCTAGTAGGATAACATCCAATGTAGTCGAGATTGTATATGTAGTACCTATATCCTAATATTCCTCCATAATACAGAAAAAGAACAGTAATCAAAGCTCGAGAATCGGACATGCATGGAAATGATAGCAGATTATACAAAGCTTAGCATAAATAGACAGGTCCCATGCGAGAAGAAAACATTAGTGATGGTTTACGAACCCGGAGCTTCAGTAGCCTCTATATCGCCAGCGTCACTCGAGGGAGGCGGTGGCGCCATTTGCGAAATCCTCATCTTCGAGGGGCCTCGAGCGCTGACGCTTCCAGCACCATTGGCATGCTCAGGCACCGAAGACCCAGATCTAGAGGAATTAGCACCCTTTTTCCTCGACCCCTTACCACCGCTGCCGGTAGAACCCTGAGGAGCCGATATCGACACGCCAGCGAGCTTGGGAAGCGTAACACCATTCAACCCAGCCCCAGCTCCCTGCCCATCTGCACCAGCAGCCTTCTGAGCTTGCATGACGTTGGCAAACTCTGATTCCTTGTCACCAACCCACGCGCGAACGAACCACCTTCCACCAGCAATACCCCGGATTTCTCGATTTGCTACACGCCAGTGTCGTGGTCTGGCTTTGGTCTTGTCGAGAGGTATGACTGGAGCGTTGCCAGAACTGATTTTCGGCGGAGGTAAAACGGGGAAAGGTTTATTTGGGAGTGGGTAGACGGGTATAGGAACGCCTTCGAGGCTTATAGGCTGTTCGTCGACCGTTGCTGTAGCTTGTAAAGCAGAAGGAGCGTCGGAACCAAGTTCTATCGGCACCGAGCCGCCTTCGGGTTCGGGAGAGTTCGAGTCTTCTGCTGGATGGGCGGCTGGAGATGAAGCAGCGGTACCCGTCATCCCTGTAATACATAGTACAGTCATTTAACAGATAGCCAGCTATAGGATATACACACGTACCTTCGCTGAGCACACCTGCGTCATCTTGCGGTAACATTGGAGGCAAGAGTTTGAGCCTGAAACAATGTAAGTCAGCAGAAATAGGATTACAGCGGAATTACGCACTTTGAAGGACCAGACTTTGCCTTCTTGACTTTCTTTTTTGCAGCTTTTGGAGATCCCGAAAGAGGTTGGTCCGGCTCTTCGATATTGATGTTAATCTGACTATCCGTTCCTGAATCTTCAGTGTGTTCAGTCGCCGGACTGGCTTGAAAGGTGGTCATCGTAGGCGCGAGATATGGCGCACCCGTTTGTTGTAAAACCTTCTCCTTGATTTTACCTCGACCTTCTGCACCATCCGGTGCCGCCTTCTTTCCCATTATCGCTCTTGCGGGATTTGCGCTTTGGACCTGATGACGATGCTGCTGCTGCCGCTTTGCGTTTTGAGGAGTCGAGGCTTGTCCAGGAGCTGGTGCTGGTGAATCTTCGTCGTCAATGAGCTGGTCTTCTTGGTCCTCATCATCGTCTTCGCCGTCGTCGTCATCACCGTAGTGGCGGTTTGCGGAAGAAGAGGAAGCTATTGTTTTCGTCTTGTCTTTGACTACGAGTTTGAGACGAAATCCAGGATTGCTGGCTTTAGAAGGTGGAGGAGTCGCTTCCTCGCGTAGAGTAGAGATTTCTGGGGCATCCATGTCAACGTCTTGGTCCATCGTGGCAGTCGGAGAAGGGGAGATAGTTAGTGTGGGAGTTGTAATCACTAGATTCGCGCCCCAATGCCGTACTAGGCTACCGTGGCGAGTACATATTCTCTCGAATTTGCTCAAAATGCGAAAATGTAGTTTACACTGTAGGCCTATACCATACATTAGCTGTACGCTATATGAAGTTAACAGCTGCTCGAGATTCATCTGACCATGGAAATCTGGATTGCAACGTTTCTCAAGTGTCACCACCGAGAAGTCATGACACTAAATTATATGCTACTTCTCTAGGTACTACATCATCTCATATAAGGTTGATCAGTGAGTTTTGGCTCGAGTGTGAATGTCGCTAGGATGTGACTCGTACATAGCTGTCCAAGCCGATTCGGAATAAAGGAAGAACGAATAGCTGTCAGGACAACACAGTTCTCTGGGAGCCCAGTCCAGTATCTGATATCTAGCCCTAAATGAGTCTAGCAACAAATGAGGCAGTGATTCAATACGAACCCTGACAAGTACTGTTGGGCTCTATATTGATGCGATGTGCCACTCAAGAGCATCCTGTAACGGAATAAGTTTTGCGTGCACCTTGGGGTCTAGATTATGAGGAAAAGCAGGGCAGAGATACCGCAGACCCAAGTTCCCACACATGAAGCTTTTTTGCTTGAATAGTTTAACATGTTAGAAATCGACTTTCTTGTTTTGGGATAGCGGTGAGTAATAAAGGAACCGGAGTTCGGGGATTACGATAAGTAACCGGTTTTCTTCCTCTTATCACCAACTCAGGTCCCAGCATGTCTCCAGTCAAGAGCTTGCAGTACTGGTTCGACGATGTGACGCCATAATCCACGTCAAGTCCCCCGAAGCAAGCGATACGCTCTACAAGATTCACCTCTCCAAGTTATCGGATCATTCACCATATCTACATTCGGTGTTCAACAAAGCAGGCCCTGCTGCTCTTGATGAAGTCGAATCTGGAATTTCCAGACTGCACTATGCCA